GTGTCGGCTTCACGGAATATCCTAATCCAGTTACGAGGCGTGTAGAGTCACGACACGCAGGCAACGATGGCACCGAATGTGAAGCAAATACAGGAACACTCGGAGTAATAGGCACACTCACGTTATATACACTATTAACATTATTTACAACGGTGTCCGCACTATTTACACGCGCCTCCGAGTGTTCCACCGACGAGAATGCCGCAGATTTTAAGACAGAATTTCGCAATGAATCCGATAGCATCTGGCATTGGTTCTCGATCCTTGCTATCCTCTCTTCCATGCGAGCCTCTCGTTCGGCCGCAGCAGCTTGTTCCAGTTCCTCGCGCTGAAGCCTGTCCGCTTCCCGCCTCGAACTGCCTCTGCTGCTCCTGCAGTTGCTCGCATAATTCTTGTCGGAGGTTTGCAAACAGGATCTCCAGTGCCGGCGTGACATTTCCGATCGATTCTTCGATCCCGGACGAGCCCCCAATGTTGTGAATTACTGCATTTCTCTCGGGTCGCGGCATTTTACTTACAATAAAGTACATAAACTATAATACAACTCGATTCAATTATGTTAGAGATCTTTGAATTTGAAACGTTGATCGCTCGACGGTCCGATCTCGACTCTTCGATTGTCCGTTCATAACACACCTCCGTGGCAACCCCTCTCTTCTATTATTCTTTAAGGAATTATTCACAACAGGGCAGTTTCACATTACAGCGACTTGATTTGGACAAGTCGCCGTAACAATATAATATATTAAATGAAAAATTACCAAAATTTTGTTTCAAATAACTCGTCTCGTATCGAAGGTACGTGTTATACGCGCAAAATGTAACTTTTTTCTTATATGACATTTTTCTCTATCAGTCAAAGTCTTCACGCTATGACTGCTTTCGTGAAAAGTGAAATTTCCCACTAAAATTGCCATAACTTTGTTGAAACTGATCGTAGAACGATATTCCGGTGATTAGAATGTAGGTCTTAAAAGTACCTTTCAAATAATATTGTAAAATTTATCAAAAAGTGTTTTTCGGAAAATGGAGCGGGATTGAGTAGGATCTGTTAAAAGTGAGTTTTTTTGTAGCTTCAGCTTCGATTAAATTATGGAAAAAATAATTAACAGATATCGTAATAAAACTCACTCGAAAGATGGTAGAAAAACCTTGAAAATGATGTCCTATAAATCTCTGTACGATATTTTAAACGCGAGTAACAAAACTTTGAATTTTATAGAATTTTCATGATAGGTGGGCAAAAGTAATTGGGCGGGAATGTACGGCTGTTACCTCACCTCGCACAATCGATGGTTGGCCAAGTTGAGAATTGGTGAGGATTGGAGGTTGACGGGGAAAGCAGTAGTATAGCGGAGAATAGCCTAATGGTGGGGAGACGACTCTCTAATAAAATCAAAGATGGGTGTTGCGCATGGAGCAAAATAACCGCCGGTAGTAAACTTGAGACGGAATGAAAATAGTCCGATGTCGGTGGATAATTTATTCGGACTACCACAGTCCACGTAAATCAGTGTATAAAATTGAAGCACGGCCTCCCCGTGCAACTCGCACCGCTCCCCGTCCACCACAGGAGTGAGTCACCGCTCGACTCCACAGAGCATGGCCAGGGCCCGACCCTTTGACGAGCCAAGAGCGAGGGGTGGTTCGGTACGCAGGGGTAGCCGAACCACGTACTGCCCGTCCGCCCGTCGTGAGACGGTGTTGACGAAATGTTCCCTGCATCTCGACTCATCAGGGGAGAGAACAGACTTGGAACTCGCTTCCTAGAACTCCCAGAGCAAAACGCAATTGCTGCTCTAACCTTTCCTCCGCGCGACAGTGCAGGGACGTCACGGAGGAATCGGGATCGTTCGCGGGCGTCGACGTGGCGCCCGAGACGTCCCAACCGAACACCGACTCATGCGCTATGGGCTGGCCAATTGTTCCGCGGCGCAGGCCGGGACCGATCACATCTCCGTAACAATCGGCCACGATCAAAAGATCTACGAGGAGATCTAAGGTCGGATCAGGGTCCGCCAAGACGAGGTCCTGCAGATGCGGGTAGTCGCGAACATCGACGGTCGCCTTGGACGCGTACGCGGTTAGTCGCCGGAGTACGTGCACGGAATGCGGCATAGGTGCGTTCCCGCGCTCAGTCAACCGTAAAACGATGTCGATCCGCGAATTCACGCGACCCACCGGAACGTCCCCCGCACCCGTCACGGTGATAGCAGCGGGCCGTTTGGGAATGCGGAGGGCCTGGACGAGAGATTGGGAGACGAAGGTCGCCTCTGATCCCTGGTCCATCAGGTCCTCAGCGGCCTTACTACCCCCCCCCTCCCCCCGTCGCGTGACAGTACCCAAACTGGAGCGGTCGCGAGCAGTACGGCCCTGTTCCCGCTTTCGCGTGCGGCGCAGTTGTGGACCGGAGATGTTCGTCGTCGAATCCCGCCCAGGTTTGACCGCGGTTGCATCTGGCCTGGCACCAACACCGGGATCCTGATGAATCAGGGTGTGGTGCGAACCATTGCAAATGGAGCAGCACGACGCGGAGGAACACGAAGTCGCGGGGTGTTCCGATCGGAGGCAGTTGAAGCAACAACAGCGCGTCCTAACAAACTCCCGGCGCAGGTTGGGCGCCACGCCCCTGAACGCAGGGCACCGGAATAACGGGTGGTTGTCGCCGCACTTCCGGCAACGGCTCGCCGCCGTTGTCACAATCGCGTGGGAGCGTACCGGTGGTGGAGGTTGGGCCGGCCTACGCTCCGCGGAGACAGTCGATGGCTCAGGGGCCATCCTGAGCTCATGTATCCACACCTCCCTCGACTTCGGGTCGAGTTTCTCCACCGTGAGATGGACCAGCAGGTCGTCCCAGTGGTCCACCGGCCGCCCCAAATTCTTAAGTTGGGGCAACGCCTCGTTAGTGCGACGGCGCAGCAAAGCGAGACCGCTGCCGTCGCGATCGCGGGAGAGCGGCGCAAGGGCCAGGAAGCTCGACAGCAGCGCACTGACCACCAGTTGGTCGTACCTCCTGACCAAAGCCGCCCACGCGATGCCAAAGTTCGCCGCTGTCACGGAGTAGTGAGCGACCTCGGACGCGGCCTCTCCTTCTAATGCACCCTTGAAATGCTGCAGCCGCTGGATGCCGTGAAGAGTCCGGTTCTTTACGACCAGCGACTCAAACTGGTCAGCGAAATCGCGGTAACTGCGCCACGGGCGTGCTACAGGACTCTGGATCCCGAACCTGGCCCGCGTCAGCCAGCGCAGACGCCCCGCTCCTAAACGATGTGACCAACTCCACGAAGAAGTCACTTGCCTGCTCAAACTCCGTCTTGGCACGCTTAAAGTATCCTTGCGCGAAATAGTCTCGGCTCTCACGGTCCTCGGCGGTGGCTTTCAATTCTAACTGAAGGTGGAGGAGTCGGTATGAGTCCCACTCGGTCCGCAAGCGGCAAAGGCGCTCTTCGGCGGCGGCTTTGGAGAATTTTGCCTTTCCCAAATGCTTGAAATTTGGCAGGATTCTACACAGTCCGCCAATAGTGAGCTCCTGCTCCTTAGTGAGTTGCTGCATTTGGGAGGCGGGAACAGAAGCATTTCTTGACTTCTTAAGTTTACGATCAACTGCGAGATCGTGCGGTTGCGTGTCCAATGTACGTCGATCGACTGCGTGATCGACGCTGAAGTTAGAGATGTCTGGATCTCTTCTCGCGTTCCGTCTCTATCCGGCTCGAAGGACCAGAAAATTTTGCGTACGGCGCAAAATAACCGCCGGTAGTAAACTTGAGACGGAATGAAAGTAGTCCGATGTCGATTGATAATTTATTTGGACTCCCACAGTCACGTAAATCAGTGTATAAAATTGAAGCACGGTTTCGATCAGTGTATAAAAGAGAAGCATCATTCAGGACCGAACAGTTTTATTAACTTAGAATTATGAATAGCCACATTATTTGTTGAAAAATCAAAGTTTCCGAGTCTTGTTCCTCTATAAATGGAATCTAAACATTTTCCAGGAGAGAGAGAGAGAGTTTTATACAGTTCTTAAAATTCATTCATCTTGGTATCTGGCGTATCAGTGTTCTCGTGGGATAATAAAAGGTCAAATCATAACTGTATCGCCACCAAAACTACGGTTCACAGTTACATCTTGCGTTTTGCGTGAATCATGCCAATGAAACTTAAAACCGTCTAAATTAAATTTTTTTCGTTCGAGAATATGATGTTTCTCCATCGTTTATTCCACGACATGTACTTCTTAGCAAACGCAAGTCTCGCTTGTTTATGTCGAAATGTTAATATGGAGGTTTGGACACTTTCCTATACCATTTAAAGCGCTTGCTTTTTTGTAAAATCTGTTGCACACGCTTTTTATTGACCGGGACATTTAATTCACAATGTATTTTAATCACTGTTACACTTTCTTTTGCGGCAGCACGTAAAGTTAAAGACTTTTATCTCTATATCAACTTCGTATTTCCACTTTTCGAATAATTTGTGCCATAATTATCAAATAATTTAATAATTAAGAAATGTGATTAATTAAGCCAATTTTTCGGTTCGAAAGACCTACAACTTTGTATGCCTTATTTATACGCTTTCGTCGTTATATTTTCTCGCTGCTTGTACACTCCCCCCAATCGCTACATCTAGACTGCATACTTAAGTAATTAGCATGTAACGCCGAGGTTCGAGCTCAACAGAAAATTTGAACATTTACATGTGCTTGGTTTAAATCCTAAATCCGAATTTTTTCTTATCAGAAGTCATTTCTTTGACTTCCTATATTGTTTTTTTAACATACAGACCTTTTCTCATCAGAAATGAATCCTTCCGCATGAAGGATATATACCGTTTCTTTGAGTTTTCCATTTAGAAAAACGGTAGAGGCATCTAAATGGTCTAGTGTCATATCTCTCTGGATTGAAGGGAGGGACCTTGGAGGACTGTCGGCAGGACTATCAATTCTAGTAGCAAGTCATTTGCGAAGTAAAAACATGATGCGATGGTTCAGATGTTCAAGCCTTCTATGCCACAATTCCTGAGATTGAAAAATGCTTATGGCACTGTACATATTCGCTTCCTCAACGTCGAGTTTTTAAAGTTCATTCATATTAGTAGTTCCTTTAGCCTCAAAATCATCTTTAC